GTGTCGGAGGATGATGCGTTGGATCCGGAGGTTGGTGGGGTGGTACGTGAGGACGAGGGGGATTCTGTTTTGGTTGTTATTGCGGGGAGGGGATGTGAGGGATGAGTTGCGGGAAATGCGGGAGACACAGTTGAGGGTGTTCTCGACCACTGAGGGGGGGATGTTGCGGTCCTTGAAAAATGAGGACATCTGAGATGTACGGGAGTGGAATGCCTCATCCTGGGAGCAGGTGCGGTGGAGGCGAAGGAATTGGGAATAGGGGATGGCATTTTTGCAGGAAGGTGGGTGGGAGGAGGTGTATTTTAGGTAGCTGTGGGAATCGGTGGGCTTGAAATGGATATCGGTTTCTAGGTGGTTGCCAGAGATGGAGACAGAGAGGTCCAGGAAGGAGAGAGAGGTATTGGAGATGGTCCAGGTGAACTTAAGGTTGGGGTGGAAGGTGTTGGTGAAGTGGATGAACTGTTCGAGCTCCTCGTGGGAGCACGAGGCAGCGCCAATACAGTCATCAATGTAACGGAGGAAGAGGTGGGGTTTAGGGCCAGTGTAGGTACGGAAGAGGGATTGTTCCATGTAACCTACGAAGAGGCAGGCATAGCTTGGGCCCATGCGGGTACCCATGGCCACTCCCTTTGTCTGTAGGAAGTGGGAGGAATTGAAAGAGAAGTTGTTGAGGGTGAGGACGAGTTCAGCTAAGCGGATGAGGGTGTCAGTGGAGGGGGACTGGTTGGGCCTGCGGGACAGGAAGAAGCGGAGGGCCTTTAGGCCATCTGTATGTGGAATGCAGGTGTACAGGGACTGGACGTCCATGGTAAAGATGAGGCGTTGGGGACCGGGGAATTGGAAGTTCTGCAGGAGGTGGAGGGCGTGGGTGGTGTCACGGACGTAGGTAGGGAGTTCCTGGACCAAGGGGGAGAAAATGGAGTTGAGATAGGTGGAGATAAGTTCGGTGGGGCAGGAGCAGGCGGAGACAATGGGTCGACCAGGGTAGTCGGGTTTGTGGATTTTGGGAAGGAGATAGAAGCGGGCGGTGCGGGGTTGGGGAACGATGAGGTTGATGGCTGTGGGTGGAAGGTCACCTGAGGTGATGAGGTTGTGGATGGTTTGGGAGATGATGGTTTGGTGGTCGGGGGTGGGGTCATGATCAAAGGGGCGGTAGGAGGAGGTGTTGGAGAGTTGGGCCTGGCCTCGGCGATGTAGAGGTCAGTGCGCCATACTACAACTGCGCCTCCCTTGTCCGCGGGTTTTCTGGTGAGGTTGGTATTGGAGCAGAGGGAGCGGAGGGCTGCATGTTCTGCGGGGGAGAGGTTGGAGTGGGTGAGGGGGCTGGAGAGGTTGAGGCGATTGATGTCTCGACGGCAGTTGGAGATGAAGAGGTCGAGGGAGGGTAGGAGGCCTTGGGGTGGTGTCCAGGAGGAGGGGGTGTGTTGGAGGCAGGAGAAGGGGTCAGGAGAGGGAGGGTTAGGCTCACGGTTAAAGAAGTAAGCGCGGAGGCGGAGGCAGCGGAAAAACTGCTCAATGTCCAAATGTGACCAGTATTCGTTGATGTGTGGGTGGAGGGGGACAAAGGTGAGCCAGTTTGGATAGCAATAGGAAATTGTAAACATAGGAAGTCACTTGAGGGAGTAGTTTATGGCTCCCTTAACTGAATACACTATGGGATAGGGCAAATGGAATAAATAATGGAAGGCTTGTGAAAAAGTACAGTGACAATCATGGGTGATATAGATTGAGTGAACTGAATTTGCAAAATTAGTATGGAAAATAAGATTATAGAGTATTTTTGAAAAATTCCTTATGGTAGCCACATGCTAGATCCAAGCAGAGCACGGCTGGATCTGGTAATGTACAATAAAACAAGATTAATTAATTAACTGATAGTAAAGGTGTTTCTTTGTAGCAAAGATCATAAAATGACTGAATTTCATATTTACTTTCAAGAAGAGAGGACTGTGTCAAGTATTCATGCTATAAACTTAGTTAAGGGCGATTATAAAGGTATGAAGGTAGATCTTACTAAACTCAACTGAGAAATCGTTAAGGGAAAATTCAACAGAGATACAGTGGCAGACACTGATGCAAATATTTTCATAAAACTCTGCAAAGATCTTTTCCAGTGAGAAAGAAAGTATCTAGGGGACAGCCACCTAATCCATGCCTAATTAAGAAAGTTAAATACAGTATAAAATTTCAGAGAATAGGGCACATGTAGCAGGTCACAAAATTGGATGAATGTTTAAAAATTAGTACAATAATAATATAGAGGGAAAAATTAGAGTATGAGTAAAAGCTAGCTAGAAATGTAACATCAAAAGTGTTCTTACAGGTATTTACAATAGAAAAATAAATAAAGTGAATACTGGTTCTCTACCCAGTGAGCCTGGCAAGTTAATAATGGAAAATAAGGAATGGCAGTTGTATTGAACACATATTTTGTATCTACCCTTACTATAGAATATAGGAATAATATCCCAGAAATAAGTTTACATAAGAGGTGAAAGTGAGGAAAGATCTTAAAATTACAATCACCATTGAAAGGATACTGAGAAAACTCTTTGAACTAAAAGCTGACATGTCCCCAAGTTCTGATGGACTTCACATTAGCGTCTTAAAAGGAGTGGTTGCTGAGATAGTAGACGCATTTGTTTTAATTTTCCAAAATGCTCTAGATTCTGAAAAGGCCTAATTTTAGAAAATAATGTATATAACCTGTCCATCAAGGAAGGATGGAAACAGAAGCAGGAAATAACAGGCCAGTTCACTTAACAGCTGTCATTAGGAAGAATGCTGGAATCTATCATTAAAGTAGGTCAATGCAATCAGGTAGCATCAACATGGCTTTATGAAAGGAAATTCTTTTACAATTCATTCATTGTCTTCTTTGAGTAAATAAAGGGGAACCTATGGAGGTGGCAAACTTAAATTTTCAGAAGGCATTTGACAAGGTGTACCATCAAATATTACAAAATAAGAGTTCATGGTGTAAGAATAACATGTTAAGATATAGGAGCAGAATTAGGCCATTCAGCCCAATGAGTCTGCTCCACCATTCAATCATAGCTGATATGTTTCTCAATGATGCTGCTTGGCCTGCTGTGTTCATCCAGCTCTACACCTTGTTATCTCTATGTTTCTCAACCCTGTTCTCCTGCCTTCTCTCCATAACCCTTGATCCTGTTACCAATCAAGAATCTATTTATCTTTGTCTTAAACACACTCAATGACTCAGCTCCACAGCCTTCCATGGCATTAAATTCCACAGATTAACCTCCTCCTGGCTAAAGAAATTCCACCCCATCTCAATTCTAAAGGGCCATCCCTTCACTCTGAGGCTGTGCCTACAGGTTCAAGTTTCTCCTACTGGAGGAAACATCTTCTCCACGTCAACTCTATCCACGACTGTTGCTATCCTGTAAGTTTCAATGAGATCCCCCACTTTGAGTACAGACCCAGAATCTTCAACCATTCCTCATATGACAAACCCTTCATTCATTAAAAATGGATAGAGAATTGGTTGGCTAACTGGAAATGGGGAGTCATTTTTGGGTCAATAAAATACAATGAATGGAGTGCCACAGGAATTAGTGATTCAACTTCGACCATGTATTCAATATGTTCAATATATATAAAGAACTTGGAAAATAAAACTGAACCTATGCTTGCTAAATTTGATGACAGCACAAATATAGGTAGGAAGGAAAGTTGTGAAGATACCAGAAGGAGTCTACTAAGTAATATGCATAGGTTACATGAATGGGCAAAAAATTGGCAGGTGGAACATAATGTGTGTAAATGTGAACTTGTCCGCTTTAGTAGTAAGGATAAAAAAATGTGTTATTTAAATCGGAGAAGATCGCAGAATGTTAAGGTACAGAGAGATGTGGGTGTCCTGGTACTTGAATTACTAAAAGTTAATATGCATGGACAATAAGTGATTAGGAAGGTAAATGGAAAAATGGGGTATTGTTGTTTCTTGCAAGGGGAATGGAACATAAAATTCGGGATGTTGTGTTACAGTTGTACAGGGTATTGATGAAATGATAGCCACAGTTACTGGATACAATTCTGGATTCCTTATTTAAGAAAGATCATAATTATGTTTGTGGCAGTTCAAAGAATATTTACTTGACTGATTCCTGGGATGAAGAGTTTACCTTATTGGGAAAGGTCAAACTTGTTGGGCCTGAATCCATTGGACCTTAGAAGAATGAGAGGTGATCTTACTGAAGTATCCTGACAGGATTTGACAGGATTGATGTTGAAAGCGGAGACTTAAAGCTTAAAAAGAAGGGATCCCCATTTAGGACAGAGGTGAAGATGAGGATAGGCAGGAGAACCGGGTTAAGGCCATAATCAGGCCAAGCAGCATCATAGGAGCAGGAAGGCTGACATTTCGGGCCTAGACCCTTCATGGGTTTAGGCCCGAAACGTCAGCCTTCCTGCTCCTACGATGCTCCTTGGCCTGCTGTGTTCATCCAGCTCTACACCTTGTTATCTCAGATTCTCCAGCATCTGCAGTTCCTACTATCTCTAAGGCCATAATCAGATCAGCCATGATCCTATTAAATGGAGGAACAGATCTCACCATCAATAGCCTACTCCTGCTACTTATTCATATGTTCCTATGGAATGGTGGGAGTTAACTTGCAGGTCTGCAATTAGCCAGGGCTTCTAAATGTCATTGCTGACTAATATTTCACTGTTGAAAATTAAACTCCCCAAAATTAAACCATCACTTACCAGCCATTATTAAAACTCACAAGTGAAGAATAGTCAAAGGGTTGTAACTCGTAATGGATGTACATCTGAGCTTCAATCATTAGCCCAGGGACGAGGGAGAGTGAAAACTGGAGAAATGTCGAGTTGATAAAAAAAAAGTATTTGGGCTTGGTTGTAATTTTGTCACTAATACAGGGTGGACCAATGTAAAACATGCCATCTTAGCCAATATGATTTAAGCTACATTACGACCATTAACTTTGTATAAAATGTGTAACCAATACCTGTAAACGTCTAGACGGCTCTTTTCTGGCGTTGATTTAAATGGCAGCTTATTAATAACACATAATTCATGTATCGCACTGATGTTTCTCTGTTGTGGGTCAATGCCTTTTTACTGCGCTTACGCCGTTTCTTAGCAACTGAGTGACCGCATAAATGATTTGCCTACGCTCTGACCTTGCCCATCAGCCTGAGTGTGGTCAGTCTGAATAAGTTCTGTACCCGCTGCACTGTGAGCAAGATCAAATCCCACTCATCATCGGTAGCCTGAGCTAATGCACAACAAGCATCTCCCATGAGTCCTCTAGCCTCGAAACAGTTTGCTCTCTCTCCACGGATGCTGCCTGACCCGCTGTGATCTACAATAAAAAAAGACAAATGTTTTCAATATACTATCGAAATAATAAAACAACCCTGTGTATCACTGACAAATCTTATGTCCCTTCGCTTATTTACATCACATGGCGACGTTCCGTGTAAATTCAAGGAGAAATCGGAATTGGTGTGATGAATGAATCCACACTTGCTCAGGCTGATGTCAAGCAGATGGGTTGTGGTTACAGGAAGTATTTTGGGGACAACAGGTGGGCTTGGGTCTTTAGAGAATGTGTTATTCCAACTACGCATTAACTCAATTACAAAGACTACATTCTTTACAGCGATTTGGCTTTTGTTTTGAATCAATTCTTCAAAGTTATTAGAGGGATATACCTAAAAAGTAAGATAACAAGGTGTAAAAGCTGGACGAACACACTACCTAAAAAGTAATATATTTTTCCTTGATCGATATTGACAAATGTACTGCACTGTGCTGATGTTGTAATGAGAGCATTTGTGCTGCTTTACAGAGAAGCGTGAATGGGTGAACAGTCCCAAAAATAACCTTTGGAGCCAACCTGATGTGTTTGATACAATGTAACGCCAGGATGACTTTATGATTGCCTTATTGGGCAAGTCAGTCACAGATTACTATCACTTTCAATCACATTATGGTTGTACATGTAGACTAACCCCCGCCATTTTGCATAAGATAATTTAATTTGGATCATATTCTAGTCTGAATTGTTAAATGCGAATGGTGTATTTATTGTGCACAGGACTTAGAAAAGTCGGATGTGGTTCGGCGCATCGACAAACGCTAGAAGGCGCAATACGGCCACTCCTCGGCACACTGCGAAGTTGCAAATCACAGGGACAGTGATCTGTGTTAAATGAGATTTGAACCATTCGGTTCAGTGAATGAATAGTTTGTTCAAGCAAGAACCCGTTCTCCCTTTGCTATCCCAGATCCCCAATATCTATTTACTGACACCCGCTGCCTCTCAACGGTCTTTGTCAATGCTCATTTCCTCCAAATTTCTTGTAACCGCACACCCCCAAACAAAATGCAGACAGCCCGACGGCCGGTGTAACTGTCTCCCGATCTCTTGTCATTGGGATCATTTCCTTCGAAGGTTTCAGTGAGCTGGTTACATTGAAGTAGGCTGCAAGGAAGGATTTAATTTCACCGAATTCGCCAATGATGCAAGGCCTCTACGGGGGAGATTTGAAGTAGTAGTGGTAGGGCTCCGGAACTGTCCGCTCGTGAAAATGCATTGAGCGAGCCCATGTGTAGTCTATTGTTGCTCTTGTGATGCTGCTGTTGGAGAGAGGAGGGCGCCTTTGAACAATAGAGGACAAATACAGAGGCTCTTAGTCGAGCACAGCCTTTCCCAAAACACCACTGCTTAACAGCACCGAATATGGAGCCTAGTCTGCAGTAGAAGTGGATGTAATTTGTTGTATTTCTGCATCGAGTCAACGATGAATTCCGCAGAAGGGGCAGACGAATGCGTCAACGATGGTGATATTGCAGCATTTTTCAAGACAGGTAAGTGGGGATATAATGGGGAGGAGAGGGGCAAAGAGCTTTGTGAGGGGTGGCAAGTGGTTTCACCCTCGTTCAATGCATGAAGCAGCATCTCCGGTATTACTATCACAATCCACGAGTTTGTGTGGCCGCTGTCAGGCCGACTCGCCCACTGTATTCATGCGTGTGTACATTGAACAATGAAACTGTTTCAGGAAATCTGATGCTGGAAAAGAAAATCTCGGATGAAGTCTTTGACAACTGAGATGAAGATAACCAGCAGTGGCCTTTTATTTACTCTGTCATGTTTTTGAAATTGCGGTGATGATAACATTTTATCACTGTAAATGGAAAGGAACACTGATGTTGTCTTGCTGTAATGACACTCCTCAGTTGCCAGGCTAAGGCAGTGCTAGTAGCATTGAAACGAAAGCTCAATGGCGCTTTGTGCCTCCTAGGAAATCAAGATTGCATCGTTTGAATTTTAACCAATTCATGTTTTGTGTAAAACTAAGCGTTGTGCAAATTTTACTGATTTGAAATTCTTAATTCTGAGAACGGTATTATGTGCGATAGATACACTTAATAGCATTTCAAACAATAAGACACTATGTATTGACTATAGTTAAATTATTTCAACAGACAACCTAGCTAGCTTGATCGTGAATCTGTGCCCTACCGTTTTCACTGGCCTGGAAGTTGCCATCTAGCTACATCTCAAATACCCATTGCAATATTAGCTCTCAACACACGCCAACAGTGTGGCTTGTAGGATTTGCTGATGGAGCGTAAGGACCGCCTTCGCTGCTCATTTTTAGATATGCTACAGCTGTATTAAAAAAAAATGTCTAGGGTTACAATTTGTAATCAATAAATATGATAGCTAACTTTCTGCACTCAAAGACTGAGTCCCACGCCCCATTTCAGAGAACAAGGTTACAGGCAGCTTACAACCACCTTCTCAAGGACATTTAGGGATGGGCAATAAATGCTGGTCTTGCCAGCGACGCTCACATGCTCGTGAAAGAATAAAATAACTATAGTGATCTAATTATTTTCTCTTTATACAACATGCTAATGTTCACAGTGCCTGTAGTGAGACATCACAGTATGAACCAATACTTCTTTCACTTTAATAATACCACTGAAACCTGATTATTTTGCCATCATAATGATGTGTAATAATCATTGTCTCACATTTCATAAAATAGCCACATTAACATACACATCAACAGCAGGGACAAAGGATTTGTGATTTTTTGGAGTAGAACTCAAGGATTTGCCATAACTTTACCATCACCACGTTTCAAGGATTTAAAATGACACCTACTCCCAGGCTGTCATGGATTTTTCTGCCCTTTTTAAAAATATCTAATTTTACATTTGATGTTGTGCCTCAAGTCATCATTTGCTAGCATGTCTTTTTATAATGGCCCAGGGTCAGGCATGACAACTGACTGACAGTGAGTGCGTTTTATCTTCATCCGTGCTGGCTGGTGGGTTATGGATGCACAGCTGTTGCTCCCCAGCATGCCAAAGGTTAAAAATAACAGACATCATGGAAATGCAGGTCTGCTCTTGTCATGTTTTATTGTTCTGAAAATCTTATTAAGATATGTCAACTAAATACGTTGAGTGATGACTTTGAAGTTTGAAGCTTCTTGTTAGTGGGTAGTTGCCTTTGGAGTTCCATGATTTGTATCCACTTAGGCCATAAACAAACTTGCCTGTCATATTTGTGATTATAGGCTGTTTAGGAAGTTGACAAATGCACTCACATTCTCAGCATACTTAGCTTGATAATCAAATGGTTGGATTTGTAACACCCCTAGTGTTACACCCTTTAGTGATGGCTGACCATCAAATTATGGAGAAAAATTGGTTCGTTTGCAGTTTTCAGTGGTTGTGCACGTGATAGACACTAATGCTGCACATAGTTGAGTTATACCTATTTCAGAATCCATGACTGAATACAAATTGAAACCATGTTCTTGCCTGTTCTCAATTTTTAAAATGTTGACAAAAATAATGGATGAACACTGGGCAACCTGTTACATAGGTAGTGTAAAGTTGATATTTCTTTGGGATGACTCCATTCTTGTATTCAGAGTTGTGATAACACACGCAGCATTGCTAAAGATTACATAACTCCTGAACTAATAATGTGCTTCCATCAGCAAATGCGCATAGCCATACGTAGCAAATGTGCCTTTTGTAATTGCTGTCAATAATTAAAAGTAATAACCAGTAATTAAATTTAGTAATTCTTTGACTTTAAGACAGTTTGTTAGTCTTGTAATATTTATACTATTACAGAATCCATTTTTATTAACATTATTTTGTTAAAAAATTCTTATTCAAAAATTAGACGAAGCAATCAAAGTTTGAAAAAGAAAACACTAGTTTTTAAAAATCTGTTTTTTCTACTCGCATCTATAATACATTAGAAGTGTTACGTATAACATATTCTTGAGTAAGCATCAAGTTTACTTCCTGGCATTCTTTAGCCATGATACTTAACATATTGCTCTTTTGTGTAGTCTCAGCCTCTTTATGAACCTGCCATGTGACGTGTTTGTAACATATAAAAGGTCTTGTAAATATTGAGTAGTTTCTATAAGTGTCAGTTCCCCGTTGCAATTTGTTCATAATGTGCCTATTGTTAAAAGTAAATTGTGTTATTTGCTGATTTATTGAGCAACATTATTGGAGAAACACTAGTTATATATTAAAAGTTGAATTATATACAAGTTCTAGTATGTAATATGCACTGCCTATAGCTATCACTTTGGTCTGTCACATTCAGATTTATGTCATGGCATGTGTCAATGTTTCTGAATAGTACTTTTTCAAAATACTTTAGTTATTGTACTTAGTTTTAAATTCAAACGATTTACATGAAGTACATGATTTTGTCTTGCTAGCTGAATGTCCAAGCTAGGTGGTGCTGTGATCATCTCTATTTATAACTCCCAGCACTTCCTACTATTTAAATTTATTTTCTTTAGGACTGCCCCTTCTTTGTTCCTTCACAGCACATTGCCAGTCTGCCAGCTGCCTGATTCAATTTTAGGGCATAAAGCTACACCATTTGCCAGAAGTCAAGGCTATATTCATGCTACCAACTCCACTGTATCCCTAAACGTTTAATTTTTGAGATGGTTAGCTCTACATAACACTGCACAGTGCTTGCCTTGAGCTTAGGACCACAGCCTACCTCTGGTTCCTTCTCTGCTAATAATGTTTGGGGCCGCATAACTTCCCA